CAGCCTTTATTGCAGCCATCCTTTGTAGGAAGAACACAAACCCACTTGAGGGTATAACGGAAATGTGCTCTGGGGGCCCGCTAGTGAACGGTGCTGAAGCACACAAAAAAAAGAAGACAAAAAAATACGTGCGCTGCCCGCCCTGGGAGCCGTTCAAAGGTTTGTGAAGGTAGGAGGTATGTGAGTCTGGGCCTAGAATAGTGTGTATATATATATGCGCTAGTATTGGTGGTAATTGATTATTATTGATGAACGATTAAATGCGAATGAATGCCTATATATATGTACTAGTATTTGGCAGTAATTGATTATTATTGATGAATGATTAACTGAGAATAAATGCCTATATATACATATATACACACAGGTACATATATATACACTAGTATTTGGTTGTGATTGATTATTATTGATGAATGATTAGCTGAGAATAAATGCCTATATATACATATATACACACACATACATATATATACACTAGTATTTGGTTGTGATTGATTATTATTGATGAATGATTAGCTGAGAATAAATGCCTATATATATACATATTCACACACGAAGCCTTGGAGAAGAGCCGACAAATGTATTCGTTTAGCGCTGAGTGACGTAGTTGACGGCCCCCACCCAGGCGACAAACCAAACCGTGGTGCCCAAACTCGTCCGCCCCTGCGCCACATCGGCACGTGTATTTATTCTGAATGACCAGGCCAAGTCTGAAACCAATGGCAAATCTCACAGACTCGTCGTCAAGCCTGGTGCCCACAGAGGTGTTGGGCCACGATCTCAACCACCCACAGCTGGCAACGCTGGACATGGCCAACAAACGAGCGGTGGAAAAGTCGTCGCCGCATGAAGACAACAAATTTTGAAAGATTTTTTTATATTCTTCGTTCAAAATTGGGACGTGCATACGGTCCCCCGGGACGGACACTGGGGGAAGAATATCGTGGCAACGAAAAAACCGGTGGAGCAGAAAAGACTGCAGTATGTATGTATGTATGTATGTATGTATGTATGTATGTATGTATGTATGTATGTATGTATGTATGTATGTATGTATGTATGCATGTATGTATGTATGTATGTATGTATGTATGTATGTATGTATGTATGTATGTATGTATGTATGTATGTATGCATGCATGCATGTTTGTATGTATGTATGTACTTGTACAGGTGCATACATATATACTTGGATGTATAAAACGTAGAAATATTGGAATTTTCCAACACGGATTATTCATTCAACAAAAGCAAAAAATTACAAGAAATGATGATAAAAATGATCAATGAAGATGTTTGATTAAATTTATTTTTTTAAATTCAATTTTGCTGAAGAAGGTGTATGAAATATTCATGAAAAAAGATTTTGACATTTTCGGATGAGACTTGAAAGTTTTTTTATGAATCTTAAAACAATTCCTAATTGAGTTGCGTGAATTTCTGAGAAAATTATAGACTAATTTATCAAATACCAACGTTTCGTTGAAAAATTCAAAAATTTACGTGGGAAAATTTATAAATTTTGTAAGAAAATGAAACAGACGAGACATGAAAGAGGTAACTGATGTTAAAAAAGTTTTGGGTAAGATAATGAAGAAGATATATAGAAGAAAATTAAACAAATTTATGAAAATTTTTAAAAATTCACGACTATTTCATATATTTAAACGCAGTTAATGATATATTAGTATTAATAATAAATTACTAACCGTTGCGATTAAGTTTAATTAGCAGTATATTAGTAGTAGAATGACTAGTAATAATAATATTAATAGTAGTATTTTTGTTGTTGTTGTTGTTGTTGTTGTTGCTGTTGTTGTTGTTGTGTAGAAGTAGTAGTAGTAGTAGTAGTAAAAATAATAAAGAGTAGTAGTTAACGATTTAGTTGTAATTGTAGTAATATTGCTAGTATATGTCCCCAAACCAGCCAACCTACCTGCCTAGCAAACTGTCACACAGTTAATTTTCAGACGTACTACCGATGAATAGGATTCTGAGAACGCTCGATGATGTTATTTTATGGTTTCTCGAAACCATTGCTTAAAAATAAATAAAATCACTCATAAAATATGGGTCTTTTTTATTTTATCCTTTTCTCTTTCTTTCTCTCTCTCTCTCTTTTCCTTCTCTCTCTCTCTCTCTCTCTCTCTCTCTCTCTCTTTCCCTCTCTCTCACTTTGTGTATACAATATACAACATCTTTTTGCATGTACGTACATAGACGAAGTATAATAAACAGAATATAGACTTATGAAATGGAGAAAAATGAATGTAAAATGATAGGATTTTTGAAAAAAAAAAACAGAAAATAATTATTCATATTCATTAAAATATAAAAACATTTAGCGTAATAAAATGCTAATGCCAAACCAAGAACAATAAATTGTCTATAACATTTAAAAAAATTAAGCTGATGTGAACTGAGCAGGTTAATGTGCACAATTTTTAAAGTTAATACACGCAGCAACAGCGGCTAAATGAAATCTAAAAGCCAAGTAACAGAGTGATCATAAACCAGAGCGTTACACGCACTAAAACAGGCTTTACATTTTCAAATGAACTGATGAAACGACGCGGACAATAGACTTTCGTTATAAAAGCAACACTGAAACCGAAAGAATAAAATGTAAAACATTATCACGGTGCAAATTAAATAATTTATTAAAAAGAAATTTTTGTTTTAATTTTAAAATAGAAAACTTGAACATTTGTAAATTATTATTATATTGATAGAAAATATTTCCTCCGGGGTGAGATGGTTTAACAAAACTCTGAAGTTGATCATCTTTTTTTTCCTAATTCTCTTAATTTTCCGTCAACTTCCGCTTTGGTGGGTAGATGATTTTCAAAATTCTCAAGTTAATAACCTTTTCCTGCTAATTTTTGATTAATTTTTTCAAAGCATCTACACGTACATCAGCTTTACACGTTAAAATATACGCGTTCAGTATACTCAGCCAGGTATAAACCAAAAATACAAATCAGCCTTATACAGATACGTGTTGATAGTTGTAGGTAAGATATTTGTTTTGGTATCTTGGTATTTTTATGCATGTTTGTATGAGGTACATACCTTTATGTTTTCAAAATTGGCATGTTTATCATTTTCGTCAATTCCTTAAAGAAGCAATTAAAATTTTTCACAAAATTTTTCTACATTTAAACGTTAAGCAAACAATAAGCCGCCCGCAAGACCGACGTTGTCCTAGACCAACATTTCAATAATTTTTTTACGCTGCGCGTGATGGGCATATATAATTATGGTGATTTTTTAATATTTGCTTTTTTCTGTTTTTGTTTTTTCATTTCGATGTTTGCTTTGATTATGGTTGATAATTTTTTTTAGTTGATGCTGCCATGGAGGCAACCAAATTTAATTACAAAATTTGGGATTGACCAAAAATTTAAAAATCGTGTTTGTAAAGTGAAATTCTTTTTAACTCCACTTACAATTTACTGCGTTGTTCATTTAAACTTTGTCGTTTCTATTTCAATAATGAAATTTGCTTTAGTTCGTTTTTTGAGTAAAATGTTAGCTACACAAACGAGTTATCTATGTTTATAATTTGAATATAAGATCTTAATTAAAAAAAACTAAAATTATAGTATGCCCACTAATTGAATGTAAAATAAATTGAAATGTTTAACTTTGTTAAACTATATTTTGCAAAAATTTGCAAATTCTGAACCTGTGAAATTCATGAAGTTTTTAACGATTGTTATAGACATTAGTAACATTAGTAATACAGTCATATTATTGTGAATAATGAACAAATTAACTATTTTTACCATTATTATTATTTTTTTATTATTATAACAAAAGACCAAATATAGAGACAAAGAATTATGAAACGTCTTCGGCTAGTTCCTTCTCGTTTAACTGACAGATCGTAATTGACTAATTGGCTGTTAGCACCTCAGCACTTCTTAGCTAACATCACACTTTGGAAAGTTTAAAAAAATTTTGTCAGAAAACCTTTCATCTGATTTTTTATGTTTACTTCAAATAATATTTTAAAATTGAAAGTAATCTATAAATGCGTGCACATCATGGTTATTAAGTTATATGATTTTACAAATTGCACTGATAGGTTAACAGCATGGTTACATAGTTGCCAAAACTGAATATCTCAGAGTTTATCGTGGCATGAGGCTGTAAAGAGCATTGCATCTAAGGAAGGGACAAATTATTTTCACCAATGTTAAATTTTGGTATATAAGCAATTAAATTCATTATATCGCTTCAAAAATTTCATCATGAGAAAGACAAATTAAAATTTTGCCAAAAATATTGCCAATTGAGGTTTACTCTGCTTCTCGTGTAGGGATGTATGTGTGAGTGTATGTGTGAGGTAATTTTGTGTGAGTGTGCTGGTTTATGTGTGTGTGAATGTTGTAAATGTATGTGTGTGTATGTGTCTGTGTGTGTGCTTGTGTGTATGTGCATGTGTGTTTGCGTGGTTATGCGTGTCGTATACGGTTATTTGTTTCTCTGTTGCCATTCATGCCGTGCAAAGCTGTCGGTAAGTCATTTTTCAATTAAAAATTGACATCTTAAAGATTTTTAATCCAGTCGTAGTAACGTTTGAATTTTTTAAATTCAAGCAGCTCACGAAAAAGGTAACATCTCACTCAAAAGTAAAAAGAGGAGAGATATATTTGATTAAATTATTTCTTAGTTTCATTACAATTCATTCAATGAAGGCAG